GGCAGGAGGAGGCAGTTCTGCCTCTCATGGAAGAGAGCATTGCAGCACTATTACCAAGGAAAGATGGGAAGAACAAAGACATCTCCTTTCTGGTGCCGAGTATGGAGCCATGGCAGCTGGAGGAGCTGAAGGCATGGCACTTATAGGAGGCAAGACAGTGATGGCTGGAGGAGGAGTCGCAGTAGGAGCGGCAGAAGCCATGAATGAAGGATTTTTAAGAGACTACTTCAATGGCGTAAGCATATGACCCGAATATAACAGTATTTTGATATTTACACTTAGCACTGTGAAATGTCGTTCATGTTATTGCAAACACAGATGAGTAGATATGTGTGTTATCAACAGTTCTGGTACAATGGCCAATGTTGTGTGCATGTGGAGTGAGGGCATTAAGGAGTTTTGGGTTAGGCTCACGTGAGGGACTTAAGAGCATGACAATGCTCAGTCTTGTAGCGCTGGGTGCTTACAAGATCTCCCACAATGAGACCCTTCTCTTGAGGGAAGTATTTGGGAATGGGATCCAGAATATTCAGCAATGACCAAGGAGCCCCTTGCCCAGGAAGAAGCCACGAGAAAGACTGTAATATAAATCTCAGGGACTCAAGCACACTAAACTGGCCTGTTGGGAGGTACCTATGACTCATCATGAGTCACAGCTACGAACTTTATAATGGAGCAGGTTTTTGAAAGATAAGCCATAGATGTCAAACAGTAGAGGGTGGGTCCGCATTTTCAAAGTAGCTGATGAAGTAAGTGGTGCTGGACTTGTCTGTTTGCCCAGTAGCCTGGATAAAGGGCCGTTCATCAGAAGTGTATGAGGCACATGTTGCAATCCCCTTTCTGACTTTTTTTTTTTTTTTTGGTGACCTAACCATTGGCCAATAGGCAATTCCTAGTCCTTGCAGCTATTCTTCTTTGCGTAATGCGCGTCATTCATCCATAGGCTGGCGAGATCCTTATAGTGGAAGTTTCACTTCTGTATGCCAGGGAGTGTAAGGATTGTCCATCACCTGTACAAACAAAACATCTTCACATCCTACAGCTGGCTGATAGTGGGGTTCTACAGGGGAGTAGCTCTGCAGCTTTGAATCACCATCTCAGACCAGGAAAGGATTTGAGCTTACGAGACTTGTATGTCTCCTGAGCACTCTAGCTGCTGGTCTTTTGGGTGAACAGATGCAACGGTAGCAATTCTGCTTTCCTTCGCTCTTTGCACTTCCTAATATTAAGACATACTTTAAGCACAGCTGCATGCTGAAGTCCTGTGGGAGGGCTTTGTAAAGGTCATGCTAGAGTAACCTTTACAACTTCTGGGAGGCTAAAATATCTCAGATTACTGGGGGTGGGAGGGGGTAGGGGGTGGGGGAAGACAAATTACCAAACCAGATAGTTTCAGTACCAAACCAGATAGTTTCAGATGTGTGCTGATTTTTGTAGAAGCATCTTGGGTAATGTGCCTGCTTCCCGGATCAAATGCAGATACACACACAGAGTCAGTTTAGGTCTGGATGTATACCACATTACACAGATGCCTGAACTAATATGCACTCTAGAACTTCAGATGTGGCAGAAAAGTGGTTCTGAGCACAAGCCAGCAACCGTATCAGGTAAAACTGGTTCAGCAGGCCCGGAGGATTTGGCTGTCTTCACTCCTGAAACTGGAGCTGGTGCAAGCACGTACATGGATTTTGTGGTAGCACTGGCAGCGACTCCATTGCAGATGCTGTTTTCAGACTGAGCTGGCCCTGGAAGCGCTATAGTCAGAACCCGTGGGCCCTCCTTGTTGCAAAGTGGCCTGCATAGAGCCTAAAAATGTATATGTTGGACTGTGTTCCCATACTTATCAAGCCATTTAACTTTGATTTGTTTGCTGTTGGGCTCCTTGGGTGTGATCCTGCAGGCTGTGCTAGTGCAAAGGGCCATGGCAGGTGTGACATGTCAGCATGTACTCATTAAACATGTGTTTAAATTTTAGTTAGGATACTCTCAGGCATGGTTTTGGCACTCTCCCACAAGCACCTAGTTACAGATGAAGTTCATTCACTGAACCAAAATAAAAGCAATCTGTTTGTGAGGATGGAGCAGTATCACCAATAGCACAAATCCAGGTAGAAATAGCAGCAGGTGGTGATAGTACCCAGGGTTTTCAATTTAATTTCCAATTTTTCGTCTCATCAAGTGTACTGTCAAGTTCAGACTAACTTCAAAAAAGCAAAAAGCACTTTAGGTACTGCCCTTGGTTGGTTGACAGTTACTGTGGTTTCAGTTAATTTTTTTTATTTTAACCTTTTTGACCAAGCATTCCTGATTTTCAGATTTATTAAGTCTAGAGCTGACATTAATGAACTTTTGCTTGCTTTTGTTTTCTGTCTGTAGAAAGCTGTCTCTTTTGCGGAAGAAGATGAAGCCCAAGCTGCAAACGACTGTCTTCTGGTTTATTCCCAGGCAGAGTCAGGCTCCCCACATGGCTCCATCGGCTGCTGCAGCTTTATTGAGGGTGATCTTGATGACCACTTTCTTGATGATTTAGGAGACAAATTTAAGACTCTAGCAGAAATATGCATAGGCAGACACATCAACATGAAAGACGGTGGCTCCAGGAATGAATCAGGTTTCGGTCTTGATGACACAAAGTCACAGTTCTTAGATCAGCAAAATGCTTCCAGCTCTGAACAAGCCTTTGCCTTGGGCAGCTGCTTCCAGCCCACCCCACTGGTGCACGGGGGCGGTGGCACAGGAAAAGACACCGTGTCCGAGAAGGTTGTCACGGAAACAACCTTTGCATCCCTCTCTGGGCAGCATGATGCCCAGCCCCTTCCCACAGCCCATGCAGAGACCAATTTCACCATGACGGAAACGTCCTACTCTGCCGGGGCTCCTGCCCGCTCAGCCACTGTCTTTCTAGACCCCCAGTTTAAGGAGAACGTAGTGGTGACAGAGAGAGTGCTGGCACCTACGTCAAGCTTGCAGGGTATGGTGGAAATCCCCGACTTGCCACACGGAAGTAATGTGGTGGTCACAGAGAGGATGGTGAAGTCAGAGGGTGCCGGGCCAAGAGTCGTGACAGTTCAGGATCTCCCCGACTCCCAGTATGTCGTAGTGAGGGAGCGGGAGAGGGTGCTTGTGCCTGCTGCAGAGCAGGGCTCGCTCAGCTTCCCCTCTTTGGCAGAGGGGCACAGCGTGGTGGTGAACGAAAGGGTGGTGACAGCCTCAGGGATGCAGAGCAGAGCCGAACAGGCGGCGGGTGGCGGCTCAGGAAGGCAAGAGCACATGTTGGTCACAGACTCCCTGCTTAACCAGGTGGGCTCCAACTTGGAGGGACCACCTCCTGCCAGTGCCACGCTGAGCAAGTCTTCCAGGGTCACCAAATACAGCACGGTGCAGTACACTCGCTCATAGCCTGAGCCTTTGCAGGGGGGGTGGTGTCCGGTACCCACGTGTCAGTGTGTGTCTCGCCACGGGCTTTTTCTTGAGACCGGAATTTGCTGGGGCTTTCAGAATGACATGGACGCGCTCGCAGTAGTTTGTATAAATAAGGATTATGACCAAGAAGCTAGTAAGGAAATCTGCTGTGGTTATTAGACAACATTGGCAAGCGATGCTTTTGAAGTGGGAAGATGTGGGAAATACATTTTTTAACTTGTTTGCTATTTTTGTGTTGCTTTTTATTATTCAGTTAGTGTAATAATACCACGTAACTACAGCTGCATAATAATGGGCAAGCGGAAAAAACAGTCTAAAAATCTAGTGGTGGATAGTAGCGTGCAAAGCACAAGTTAAGTTTCTGAACTGCTGTTTAGTGTATCTGCTGAAGTCCCCCCCCCCAAGAGGCACTGGTTTCTCATTGCGTGTTTGCCATCTATTACCTTGTGGGCCAGGGCAGCTCCCCCTGAGCTGCAGATGCAGATCTCTGCACCTTGGTGAATTGCTGAGAAATCTCTCCTTCCTGAGAAGCCCAGGCCACCAAAGCCAGTATGTCCTCAGGGCAGTGGTGTGTTGATCTCCTGGAGGGATGTTGCAACTTCGGGGTTATCAGCGTTTGTACCTTAAGCAATCAATACTTGCATATTAGCACAGGGGTTAAAGAGAACAAGTAGCAAAAAAGCTGAGAACTGCAATTTTTGGGGTACTTCGATATAAAAATTCCATTACTTGGTGTGGGTCTAGGCTGACATGGACAAGTAAGCATTTGCTTTGTACAGATTTTTCACTGGCTCCTAATTCGTCCTTTAATAGTGTATGAGAAACAGCCAAAACCTTAGCTTCAGAGGCAGACATTCAGTCGGTGGCTTTGCTAGCAAAGTTTATGACCCTTAGACATCTGTAGGATCCAACTTACAAGTGCGATTAGCTAAGTGATTTTAATTCTGTCTGTGAACTCACAGATACAAGCACAGAAATGCAGCTTGAGGGTGGGTGTGAGGGTGTGTGTGAGGTTCTGCTGGCTCCAGTACCAGAGCTCAGGTGGCCTGTGTAATAACGCCATGTAATGGCAGTTTTCCTTAGCTCTGACAAGACAGGGAAAGCTCCCTGTAATTCTGCAACATTTACAATTACTTTCCTTTCCATGAAGTTCATGTGGTAAAAGCAGAAGAGAGTACTGCATACTGTTTGGCACTATGTATATATGTACATGTAAATACATTTTTGTATGCAGTTTGAAACATTTTAAAGTGAAATTTATAGTCATACACTCCGCATGTTTTGTCAGAGTAGAAAGAAGTATTTTAGATTAGCTATTGGTACCATGGTTATCTCATGTGTAAAATCAGCAAAGCTGGTCATATGGTAATGCAAAGCCCGTGCACCTGCAGAGCTTCCTGGTTGCCTCCATCTCTCCTGGAGTTGTCCTGCAGCTGCGGTGTTATGTTTTCCACTGACACATTTTGCATTTGACTAGAAATGCTTTCAGTGTATTTGACTTTACTGATAAGGATGTAAAAGCTGGTTCAAAACCATAAACATAAAAAGTAGGAACTATGGCTGTGCTCAACAGGGTACATCTTGACAGATGGGCCATTACATAAAGGGGGGGAGTACTTCCAAGCAAATCAAAGTACTCACTCGCTTGGACCTGTTGGTTATTTATCTCTTCAACTTCATTTTTAAAGTATGTGTATTTTCTTTTAAGTAAGCATGCAGTTTAAAGTGGTCACCACTTTTTCTTGCAGTTAGAAGAAGTTAACTTATTTCTGGCTTTTTAATGGAGTATTTCTGTGGCTTTATGCAATCTTAAAATAAAGAACTCTACTGTATTTTTTTTTTTTATTCTTCATTCAGTTTTAAAACAGCTACCCTGGTGAAAACTCTGACTTTCCTACTGCAAATAAAAAGTTTAAAGATAGAATGAGGATTGGGATATCCCAAACAGCCTGAAGGAATATCTGAAAGATACAGATGTAATAAAAGTTGGTATCCTTCTAACTTACAGATTCTGAAAAAAATGTAATTCTGCCAGCTGGTTGAGCGCAGTAAATTCTGTAAGAACTTGATGCAAGACAACACCATGCCATCCACAGATTTACTGGGCTTTGAGTCAAACTTTTCTAATTAGTTTATGCTTCCAAACAACATGGCATAAAGTATTGTCTCAGTTTTATACTTGTTAAAACATCTAGTTGTTAACATCCAGAAGAGGATGTTAAGAGTCAGGACTGTGTCACAGAAATCCTGGCTTCCCCCTGTATTGTTTATAAATAAACTTTTATCACAAATTTGCCAGTGCTGTAAAGAGTCTTTTCGAAGACATGTGTTAAGAGTGAGTCTCCATTATTTGGCTTAGTCTTGTACCAAGACTTCAGATGCTATCAGCATGTGCTAATGCTGACAGAACATCCATCAGATTAGATAAGTCACTTCTAATGGAGCTGTGTTTTGTAAATGATGGTGGCTGGTGGGAGGAATGTACAGACCCAAACTAATGGAAACCACCACTAGATAACCCTGAGACCCCGACTAGCCCTAGACGCTTATCTTTGCAAGAGATGCCTCGTTCTGACTTCAAAAGTGAAAATGAAGTCTGTAGTTTTCTTATCTAAAAATAACAGAGCACGGTTATGCTGAAATACCAGCGTGATGGGGACTGTATCCACGCAGCTCTTCTGTGATTTTTTATTTTCCTGCGGATCCTCACTAAATATGTCAGACTCCATGAGTATGAACCAGTGTGCTGCAACAAGGACACGGCCATCCCCAGCAGGAGGGCAAGTGGAGTGCCTGTCCTGAGCGCCCATGAGAAAGTATTTCCTGCATCGTGCCTTGGTGTATACTTGGAGCCAGGCTAGACTTTGCAAGACAGGATGATCTCTTCCAGGCTCTGTTCTTTCCTGGGAATTTGACCATCGTCCACCATCAAAGCCTTAAAAGCTCGTTGGGGTTATCAACAGTAAGTCAGTTTTTAAAAAGTTAAATAAATGAGCTGCTCTCCTGAGGAAAGTGATGGTAAGTGTTTATAGCCTTCAGGCATCCCAAAAATGCATCACTCCCTCTGCTTGCACTGTGATAGCAGAGCTACCAGCTCTGTCTGTGTCCTCTACTCCTTCCTGGTGACCTTTGAGCTCCCCAAAAGTTCAAAAAGCAGTGACAACCATCTGTTCTTCCTGCCTTGTGGGTAGCACAGGCTTTTGAACACACTCCTCCAGGTGAACCAACCTGGCAGAAAATCAGGAGGGGGGTAAAAAAGAAAAAAAAAAAAAAAAAAAAATCAGTGTCAAACTTCTTTTGTGAGGATGTGAGGTAGGCTGAACAGGGTCCCCGGGGACTCAGAGTGCCAGTCGGGTGCAGTTTGTGAGCCCATCTTGACGCACAAGAGCTAGGAAGGTCAGCCCCTAGGTGCCTGAGGTCCTGTAGCTGCTCAGTGCATCATGCAAAATTGGCCAGCGCACGCTGAGCTGCAGGGCAGGCCTCCGACGGGATCTGTTTTTGTTGGCACTACAAGAAAAATGTTCACCTGGGCCTGTGTAGGATTTGGCCCAGGGGCCGCAGCTTGCAAGCACAGGTACCCCAGCCCTGCCCACTGCGACCTGGGCTGGAGCCCCGTGGTGGGGCCAGCACAGCACCGTGTGTGACAGATGAGGGTGGCAGGGGGCAGAGCATGGCTAAGAACTCGGGATTTTGGGCTTTTTCTTGAGGGATTTGAATCCACTGCTGTCCCAGCTCAGGTTGCTCCATGTGGGAACAGGCACCACGTCTACTGCCCCACTCCTGTAGCTCAAGCACTCACTCCATTACAAAAGCTGCTGTGGATGGTAGAGCTTGCGCAGATTGAAGGGACAAGTGCATGGAAAAGCAAGTCACTGAGGGTTACTGAATACACGGAAATGGCCTGCAGCTCTGGAGAAAGCTGATGGCTGAGAGTCCTGGCAGGAAGACCCTCTTTCCTAGGCATCCCCTTATGGTGACTGCTGATGATGGGATACTGGATGAGAAGGACTCTTGGCATGATCCAAGAGAGGCTTGGTGTCAAGGGAGAACAGGACAGCAGTTAACCTGAGGCAAATGGACAGTAGATTAGGGAGGTGACTGGATGATGAGAAATGGGGTGTTTTCCTCTCCCTGCAGAGAGAGCAATCACTGAATTAAAAACTAACGTGGGGCAGGGACCCGACTGCCAGATAAGTCATACCCAGTGCCCAACCCTCTGGTGAGAGTCTCTGCCAAGAAACAACAGCACAAACACAGCCACGCAAAGAAGTTGCAGTCTCCAGCTCCCAGTTTCTCTGGGTGGCCTCAGCTCAGGAGCTGGCACCACAGATGGTCAAGTCTCCCCAGCACATCCTATTGCTCAGCATCTTGGCAGCTGAAAATCAAACCCATGATCTGCCCCACGCCAAGAAGGGGATTGATGGCATTACAGTCTATGCAGAACAGATGCTGAAAGCTGCTCCCAAAATGAGCACATTATTTAACTTCAGGTGCTGCCACAGAGCATCACCGTGTCTGCAGCTCTCTGCGACTGCCTGCCACAAAGGACAACTCCCCGGGCAGCACAGAGTGCTGGAGGGTCTCGGGTTTTGCAATCCAAGGCTATGGACAAGATAAACTGTGCCAGTATTTGGTACCAGTGGCCCATGCCATCCTCCTCGCTGCACTACGTCTTTGTTTCCGCAGCTGGAAAAAACACCAAAGTAGGCAAAGCTGCAGATGTCATTTTGAGGCAGAGCAAGGCTGGGTACCTGTTCCCCTATTGTGTGTGGTAGGTTCTTCTTGTTTTTACAGCTCCCCATTCATGGTGCCGCTGAGGCTGTAAGGAAAGTATGAGAGGAAATGGCCTCAAGTTGTGTCAGGGGAGGTTTAGATTGGATATTAGGAAAAATTTCTTCACGGAA